GATGGAAAAGTAACAACACACTAGTCTTCTGCCCATAAGGTGAAGTTGCATATGCATAGTAGTGCTGGCTATATGATGAGACTAGAGAGAATGATGATCCTTAAAATTATTACTTATTACTCTGGTAAATGATCAAACATTATCTTGTTTTTGAATTAATGGCCTAATAATTCTGAAAATGTATATATACAACATAAATTACTGATTTTAAAATGATAGCTAATGTCTGTGTAGTGCTTTTTATTTTGCAAAGCAATTTTACATACATGATATCACTTAGTATTAAAACAGACTCTTAATAAGGCTAATAACTACTATTTGAACCCACCTTTTCATTTATATTCCCAGGTTTTGCCTTAATAAGTAAAAAAAATTAAAACAACACTACAGTATTATTACATAAAGCATCAGCTAGTTTATGGTAAACTATAGTAAACATTTGTTTGAAAAAAGGAAAAATGTATTTTACAACTTTTTAAACTTTTAAAAAATATCAATATGAGATTTAGAATAGTAACCACTCACAAAATTCTGCACACAGAATTTTCCTCCTTTTTTATTATTCGGAAAGAAAATAACATAATTTTATGATACATAGGGGTTAAATACCCATTTTAATGCTATCATGTGATTGCCTTAAATAATCTAAAATATATTGGATATATTTTCCACAATTAACAAAACTAAATTTTGTGAAGTTATGTTATTATTGGAAAATTAATACTCTTCTAACAAGTCACATAATGGTAGCACTATGTAAAATTCTTAACTCGATAGGTATGTAAATTATGGGTACTTTGGAAAATTAATTATCTTTTACTCTCAGCATGTATTTTAATGGTATTTTATTAAATATTAAATATTTAATAAGTGTTTATTAAATATTAAATATTTAATAAGTGTTTATTAAATATTTAAAAATTATTTAATATGTGATAATATTTATTAAATAAAATATTGTTAAGATAAATGCACACAACTATAACCTCAGTAACTGTAGGTTTAATCTACATGTGTATAAATTTGAATTGTACTCGAAGGTAGTACTGCTAAAAGAAATAACACAAACATAGCTACTTAGCCAACACAAATTAATTGTCTGACAGTTTTTGTATGTCAGAAGTCCTGCGTGCTGTGGCTATGTTATCTGCTAAGTATATCATAAGGCATTGGTAGAGCTACATTCCTGTTGGGAGGGTCTGAGAAAAAATAATCTGTTCCAAACTCTTTGTTTGAAGAATTGTTTTTCTTGTGCTTGTAGGCATATAAACTATTAGCTGGTTATTAGCTGGCTATAACTCAATTCCTAAAGGTTGCTCACTTTCTTTATTTGATTTTATTTTTTTATTGGACCCTGTCTCCTATTCATATAGACACATTTTGTTGCCATATGGCTTCCTCCATCTTCAAGCCAATCATGAGTTATCAAACACTTAAATTTTCAGCCTCTGACTTATCTCTTGACCAGCCAGAGGAAGCTCTGCTTTTAAAGCACCTAAGCCTTTGGTTGTGCCCCACAAGAATAATCTGTTAAAATCAATTTAGCGACCTAACATAATCACAAGAATAAGATCCATCATAGTTATAATCCAGGAATTATAAAGGGAGAAATCCCAGAAATTATAAATCATCAGGAGAAGGCAAAGTATATTAGAAGCCATCCTAGAGTTTTCCATACTATGGTAGTCAAACATATAAATATTGTGGAAAAGTTATTTGTATTTTCCTTATCCAAAAATAAATATGTCTGGGACATTTAGGAATATTTTATCAAGTATAATTTTTGAAAATGTTTTTATAGAATGATCACTTTACATATAATGTATCTCTTTTTAATGCACACAAACATTTTCAATATTATAAAATATAATTGTTTAAAATTGGATGAAGCACTGATTTTTGATCACAAGAAAATGGTGTTTTTATCATTCCTTGTCTTGTTCTGGATTTCCTACTCTGTTAAATTCTCAAGATGTAGATATATACAAATGATAAATTAATTGTTAATATGGAATAATTCAGTATTTCATTTGATATTTATTACCGCATTGCCACAGCAATGTATTTCATAACTCTTTATATGAGCAGCATCCATCAGTCTATTCTCTATCTTCATGAGATTCACTTTTTTTTGTTCCCATTTATGAGTAAGAACATGTGATACTTGTCTTGCTGTGCTTGGCTTACTTCACTTATCATAACGGCATCTAGTTCCATCCATGTTGCTGTAAGTGACAGAATTTTATTCTGTTTTGTGGCTGAATAATATTCCATTGTGTATTTCATTTTCTTTATTCATTCATCTGCTGATAGGTACTTAGGGTGATTCTATACCATGGCTATTGTGAATAATGCTTCAATAAACAGGGAAGTGCAGATATTTCTTTGATATACTGATTTCCTTTCTTTCTGCTGTTGTTTTTGTTGCTATAGTTTTGTTTTGCTTTTATAGAGAGACAGGATCTTATTTTGTCACCCAGGATGGAGTGCAGTGGTGTGATCATAGCTTACTGTAATTTCAAACTCCTGGGATAAAATAATCCTCCCACCTCAGCCTCCAAAGTAGCTAGGACTACAAACAAGTACCACCTAATTTAATTTTTTTTAAAAGACAGGCTCTTACTATGTTGACCAGCATGGTGTACAACTATTGACCTCAAGCAATCCTCTCCCCTCTACCTCCCTAAATGTTGGGATTACAGGAGTGAGCTACCACATCTGTCAATTGATTACCTTTCTTTGGGATGTATAAACATCAGTGGGATTTCTGGATCACATGGTAGCTCTATTTTTAGATTTTTAAAAGGAAACTTATACTGTTTTCCATAGTAGCTATCTTAATTTACATTCCTAGGAACAGTGTACAAGGATTCCCCTTTGCCACCTCCTCACCGGTATTTTTTATTGCCTACCTTTTTGATATAGGCTATTTTAACTGGGGTGAGATGATATTTTATTGTGGTTTTAATTTGCATTTCCTTGATAATTAATGATGTTGAACATTTTCCATATACATTTTGGCCATTTGTTATGTCTTCTTTTGAGAAATGTCTGCTCAGATCTTTTGCCCATTTTTAAAATCAGATTACTTCCTTTTTAAAAACTGAGTTTTCTGAGCTCCTTATAGATTCTGGTTATGAGTTCCTTGTCAGGTAGATAGTTTGCTTATATATTCTCTTACTCTATGTGCTGTTAATTCACTTCTCTAATTGTTTCCTTTGCAGTGCAAAAGCTTTATAGATTAATGTAATAACAGCTGTCTACTTTTGCTTTGGTTGTCTGGGGTTTTCAGGTCTTACACACACACAAAAAAAAACTTTTTCCTGAGCAATGTCCTTGAGTTTTCCCCCAGGGTTTTCCTCCAATAGTTACATACTTTCAGATTCTGCATGTCAATTTTTAAACAATGTTTTATTTGAATATTTTGGTTGGTGAGATATAGGGATCTAGTTTTAGTCTTTTTGCATAAAGTTATACAAAAGTCTGTATACACCAGTAGTATTTACTAAAAATACTTGCATGTTCTTGGTGCTTTTGTTAAAAATGAGTAGGTTGCAAATGTGTGGACATATACCTGGGTTCTCTACTCTGTCCCATTTGTCTGTGTGCCTGTTTTTAGTCCAATACCATGATGCTTTGTTTATTACAGCTTTATAGTAAATTGTAAAGTCCAATAGTGTGTTGCCTCTAGGTTTGTTCTTTTGCTCAGAATTGCTTTAGGTATTTGGAGTTTCTTATGGTTCCATATAAATTTGGGGATTTTTTTCTCCTTCTGTGAAGAATGTCATTGATATTTTGATAAGATTGCACTGAATTTATAAATTGATTTTGATAGTGTTGCCATTTTAACAATAATTCTTCTAATTCATGAGCATGTAGTATCTTTTCATTTTTCTCTGATGAAAAAGAGCTCAACATCACTAATCATTAAAGAAATGTAAATCGATACCACAAGAAAATACCATCTCACTCCAGTTAAAATGGCTTGTATCAAAAAGACAGGCAATAACAGATACTGATGAGGAGAAGGAAAAAGGGGAATCCTTGTACATTCTTGGTAGAAATGTAAATTAGCAAAGCTGCTATGGTAAATAGTAAATTCCATCGGAATTTTTGTATCTGTGTTCATCAGGAATGTTGGCCTGTAATTTTCCTTTTTTTTTTTGAAGAAATTCTATTTCATCTGAATGTTATAGTTTTTCTTGTATAGATCTTTCACTTCTTTAGTTAGATTGATTCGTACATATATTTCTGTAGGTATTTTTAATGTGATTACCATATTGATTTCTTTTTCAAATTGTTCACTATTGGTGTGTACAAATGCTACTGTTTTGTGTGTGTGTTTGTTTTGTATCCTACAACACTACTGAATTTATCAGTTTTCACAGGTTTTTTTTTTTTTTTTTTTTTTTTTTGGCTGGAATTTTTAGGTTTTTCTAGAAGATCATTTCATCTGCAAACCAGGCTAATTTGGCTTCTTCCTTTTCAATTTAGATACCCCTTATTTCCTTTTCTTGCCTAGTTGCTCTAGGATTATGTTGAATAAAAGTGGTGAAAAGTGAGCTTCCTTGTCTCCTTCCACTATTTAAAGGAAAGGCCTTCAATTTCTCCCCATTTAAAATGATATTAACCATGGGTTCATCATATATGACCTCTATTATTTTGATGTATGTTCCTTGTCTTTCCTTTCTGATGAGGAATTTTATGATAAAGTATGTTGAATTTTATCAAATGCATTTTTATGGCATCTATTGAAATAGATATATGGTTTTTGTTCTTGGTTCTGTTAAGGGATATATTATGTTTATTTATTGATTTGCACATATTGAAATATCCTTGCATCTCTGGGATGAATCCCACTTGATCACTTTGAGTAATCTTTTTTATATGCTGTTGAATTTGTCTTGCTAGTATTTTGTTGAGAATTTTTGTATCTATGCTCATCAGGGACATTGGCCTGTAGTATTCTTTGGTAGTTGAGTCCTTGTCTGGTTTTGGTATCAGAGTAATGCTGGTCTTTTCAAATGAGTTTGGAAGTATCCTTTCCTTTTCAATTATTTTGGTAAATTTGAGGTAGAATTGGTATTGGTTCTTTAAATTTTTTGTAGAATTAATTAGTGAATCCACCAGGTACTGGGTTTTTCTTTGAGATTTTAAAATCAGTCTTAAATTTTCTCTTTGTTGGGGTTCAGGTTTTCTGTTTCTTCCTGGTTCAATGTTGGTAGGTTGTATGCATTCAGGAATTCATTCATTTCTTCTAGGTTTTCAAGTTTGTTAGCATACAGTTGTTCCACATAATCTCTTAATCTCTTATCATGATTCTTTGTTTTTCTGAGGTCTCAGTTGTTCATGTTTCCTTTTTTGTTTCTAATTTTAATTATTTGTATGTGTCTTTTTTTTTCTTAGTCTACATAAGGGTTTATCTATTTTGTTTATCTTTTTAGAATAACTACTTTTCATTTTATTGATCTTTTCTTTGGAGAAGACAAGATGTTTATTGGTACTTCTCCTTGTACCTCAATTTATGAAATTCTAAATTGCCTTGCTAATGTGAAAGATTAATTTATTGGTTTCTCTGACAATATGATATAATTTATTTAAATCTAAATTGTGCAAAGACATCCATCCTTCAACGAACTTTTAAAATGAAGTATTTCGAGATCCAGTGTTACTAGATACAAAGGATATGTTTCTTACCAATATTTTAATAATGGTTGAATGAAATAATGTCATTTAATTTTGATGTTTTATGTAAGACATTTCAATTCAGATATGCCAAAACATTTGAAGAAAAAAATTAATGCAGGAAAAATACTCCAAACATAACTGACATACATAAAACCAATTTTAACTGTGTAAATATCATGTTTAATAGTTTACAAAAGCAATGGTCATGTGAAAGAAACAGTAATGTAATTAAATTTTCACTAATTTAGGAGGATAATGTCTATAGTATTGAAATCTTTGTCTAAAAAAAGCTCAGTACCAAGTAAAATTAAGTAAGTGTAAAATTATCTCAAATATCGTAATACTGTCTGCAAAGTAAAAAGTGATTAACTCTGCATATAATTTTCATTTTTAAATTCTGATTCATAACGTTTAGTAAAATTTTCCCATGCAACACATACATATACCGTCATGCAATGTAATATTTATTCAAAAACTTAGACAGATTCATTTTTATTCCTTGAGGCAGAGAAGTGAATTATTTGAACTAAAAAAAAAAAAAATGTGTTCCTCTATGAGGAATGTTTAACTCCATGTCTGCGAGGGTGTTTCTGTTTAAATTATATCACTATGGTTAAATATTTATAAATATCATGGTAATTGTGAAAGACAAAATTCATACTTACTTGTTTCCTTGATATCTCTCTTTGTACCCTTATATATAAAATTCTAAAAAGCCTCACAGATATTAGAGATTGATTTATTAGTTTCTCTGCCAAACCTGAGTTTATAATTTATTAAAATTGAAATCAATATTAGTATATATTCCTTTGTTGTATATTAGAGATCAGTAATTGTCTGTGAGAATATAGTTTTTACTCTTAGGATTATTATACATACAGTGAATCATAATCATAATTAGATGCAGGAGATTGTGTAGTTTAAATTTTATATATTTGGCTGCATTAGTTAAAAGGCACTGGGATTATTTTGTTCAGATACTTTAGGAAAATATCACAGATGGTTACTTTGGAGGATAATAACTGAGTAGTCACAGTGTGAAGATAATCAGAATAATAGTAATAGAAACTGCAAGGGTTCTCCTATAAAGGAAGAGTATAAGGGTCTGCCCGGAGAACACACTTAGCCAGAGTGCCCTGGGAAGGCTCCCTAACTACACAAAAGGTACACACTTATGAAATTACATAATTACTGAAATAAGGTGACAGCAAATTCAGAAGAGAAATGAATTGTATTCTATGACAGTATGCATGTAAAGTTGAATATCCTATCCAAAAGGGAAAGGTTGCTTCCTTATATTAATTAGAGCATCAGTAGCATTTAGGGTATTCTTTTTCTTTTTATTCTTGATGATTTGCTATTTTTTTCTTTCTGATATACACTATGATTTGTCTAACATGCAAAGATTATACAGTTTCCTAGCTCTTTGAGTAGGAATTGTTTATATCATTTTACAATTTAAATTACAATTGACAGCTGCTAAATTACATAGATGTATCTTGAACAAAATGCTCCTTGAAATAAATGACACACTTAGATGCATTTCTTTTTCAATACAAACTTACGTTTTATAGTAATTTTCTTATAATATCTATTATACTTGAGCAAGTAGAAATGCCATTTATTATAATACTAGAAATTCTTGTATCTTGCAAAACACTTATATATTGATAAAAGTGTCATAGTTGTCTATTACTTCTATTTTAATCTCTCTATTCTAGCAAAAGGCTAAGTCCAAAATTTGTGCTCAGTTAACTACTAGACCTTTTTGTTCATAGGTAAAATTTATAAATTGTAATTCTGTTTTACTTTAGAAAACAAGTTTCTCAATGTCTATGATTAATTGCATTATACTTCTCTTAAAATAAGTTTTTATAACATAGATATATAATACATTATTAATATTTTACTAGAGCTTGAGTGGAAAACTGAAGTCATTATATTGTTTAAATATTGTTTTTATAGTCTTGACTAACTGACATCTTGTCATTATCACAATTACAATAGTAACAGTAAAATTTTGCACAATACTCCAATTTGTACTTTCAACTGTAATTATTCCGGTGGTTTAATAGGTTTTACTACCTCTCCTTGAACTGAAATAGAAACTCATTAATAAGACGTTAGCTATGATTAATTAGAAACCTCTTGAAAATCATCTTTTGAAGACAGCTAAATTGTCTTCATTTTTCCCCAAGATAAAGTTTTATAATAATGTATATATTTTTTCCATTCCATGGCAATTCATGGTTTAGAAAGTTAGTTTTCTTGTTTTAATATCATTCAATTTACAGCTAAAAAGAAAAAGTTCAATTTGGTTTTATATATGTGTACATATATGTGTATTCAAATACACACACACACACACACACACACACACACACACCCCTTTATGTAGAAGAAACTCACTTAAGCTAATGTTCTGTTAACTTGCCAGAATATCTGAGAGCAAAGAATGTCCAGTGCTCCCTAGAACTTTTCACAAAGTCATTTACTGGAATAGGGTCTTTAGGAAATGTGTTAACAATGCTAAAGAAAAAGTGTAAACAGCAAATCCTCTCTCAAATCTCTGCCTATGCTTATATTCATATAGTCACAAATTAGAAGAATTCAGTTGTCTTTCTCATGATTTGTCTTAAATAATTTTATCTAAATTTAAATGTAAAGCCCTTTTAAATTACTTTCAAGCTCTTCTGTTTTTCACAATTATGGTGGCATTATAGTAAATTCATGAAACTTAAGTGGAGAATACATTCTAAAAGTTAATTACTGTGTTTTGCTTTACATGAAACCAAAAGTTGTGCATGCTTTGGTTACTATGTAATGGCAATTCGGTGATGAAGAAGATAATTATACAAATCAACTGCACCAGATCTCAAAGTCTGGATTGAATTATTTTTCTAGATACAATACCATGCAAATACAAACATATCAGGTTTGTCAGGTATGATATTGAAAAAAAAAAAAAAAAAACAAGAAAACAAAAGATAAAAATTAGAGATTGTCCAAACATTTTGGGAGAGAATAAAGCATGTTTCTTGGATGGATCACATATTATAGTTCAAGGTAATTTGTCCCAATGCCTAAAATAACATTTAAAAAATTTTATTTGTAAGTATTCTTGACAAAATTGTCAAAATAAAAATATACCTCACACTAAAGACAAGAACTCAAATTGTGTGTCCTCATTTAATCTTAATATGTATGTTAATCATTTAACATTCACCTCATCATCTGGCTAAGCTTTTTAAAAAGGGCTAACTGAGAGAATAAAAGAAAATATGAGACAAATTTCTGGAAAGCATTGTATTAGATGAACCCAATCTTGCTTTTTTTTTGAAACAAACTGTATCTTAGACTTTTCTTAGTGAGACTTTCCAAGCATTTCATGTTGGAAAGCTGACTTTATAAAGGCAGGTGTTTAGACATTTAAAATATGGTCAGGAAGAGATGTGGGTAAATCACTGACTAATTTGTCTCTCAGGTTTTTCTGTAAAATCAGGATATTAAGTAAAATTATCTTACATTTCTGCCATTACCCTTCCAGTTATGGAGCAGACCAATTGAGTAGCTCTAGGAAATCCAAATTGTTTCTCAGTTTTCTCACTTGCAAATCTCTGTTCCATTAACGTAAAACCCTTTCTGAAGATAATTATGGTTAAATAGATGTTAACAAGTTTTTATGCCTAAAGATGTGATAGGAAATGATTACAAAATGATTTTCTGTAATTTTAAAGTAAATTTTATAGGTTAATTATGCTTCTTTAACTTTTTAATATAAAATAATAACTCCAAATAAATTTTTCCATTTTACTCAGCAAATTTCATGCTATTTAATAACAGCCATATTCTGTTTGTTATACTAGTATCTCCATTTGCCCCCAAAATAATATATCAAGAAATACATTGATAGAAGAACCATGTATTTCTTCAACAAGAACAATGATTTATTGTTTGCGTCAACTTTTTACTATCTATAATCCCTTAATTTCCCATCTACGTTTCTCATGCAAATTAGATTTAATTTCCAATAGTTTATTTTGAGGCCAGAACTCTCCCCTGTATTTCAGATTCATATGTCCAAAAACCTATTTAACATATCCAATTAAATATTTAATGTATATCCTATATTTAATATAACCACAACTGTCAAAATCTTCACCTGTATTAGCCACTATTTTACTAAGATAATTCCCTCTTTGAAGTTGTTCAATCTAATAAATTTAGACCCATGAATAATTTTTCTTAAGCATTCAATAATCAATCAATCTCTGAGGGAATCTTGTTAATGTAAAACTACCTACAGTCTATTTTTTTCTCTACATCTCCATCATCCCCATGTTTCAAAATACCATCATCTTATTTAGATGATGTCATATTTTTCTACTTTCATACTGGCCCACCTCAATCTATTATCAACAAAGAAACCAAGTTGCTGAATATATTCTTTAATCAGTGTTCTCCACTTTTCATCTCACTAAAAGTAAAATCCAAGATTATTACAATAACCCATAAGTTCCTCTCCACAATCTGACATACCCCATGTCTCATTTCCTCTCTACCCTCACGCTGCTTTTCAAATTTCCCAGATTTGCTTCCCGATACTCATTTCCTATGAGTGCGGTGTTCTTTCTGAAAGCCATGACTCACCAATTTAACTTTTTCACAATTTTGCTCAAATGTTTTCTCAAATTGGTGCCTTCCTTAATCATATTACTAAAAATATTCCAAGCACTCCCTGTTTTACTTCTCTGCTTAATTTTCCTCCTTAAATCATCTAATATCCTGTACATTTTTACTAAAACATATTTTATTTTTTCTTTCACCTACTAGAATATAAATTCTATGAGACTAGAAATTTTTGACTATCTTGTTTGCTCTCTCATGCAAGAAACCAAGATCATTGCTGGGCACTGAAATAAAGGAAGATTATTCCAATTATTTTTCTTTTAAAAGTTTTCTGTTGACTATTAGAACTGCAAAATTCATCTCAATAATTAAGAGTCTATGGAAATTAAAAATATATTTATATTGCTTTTTCTTCTTAGTCACTTAGAATAATTTCTAATATAACAAAATCATTTCAAATGTATACGAGAATATGGATATTCTTTCTTGAGCAGCCTACAAACAAATAGAAAAATCACAGTTTGAAAACATATGAGTTGTTTGGTTGTTTTTTAATATTCATTCTTAAAAGACATTACATTGTTCAACTCCTTATGAGCGAGAATATGCGGTGTTTGGTTTTCTGTTCTTGCATTAGTTTGCAGAGAGTGATGGCATCTAGCTTCATCCATGTAACTGCAGAGGACATGAACTCATCATTTTTAATGGCTGCATGGTATTCAATGGTATATATGTGGCACATTTTCTTTATCAAGTCTATCATTGATGGGCATTTGTGTTGGTTTCAAGTCTTTGCTATTGTGAACAGTGCTGCAATAAGCATATTTGTGCATGTGTCTTATAGCAGAATGATTTATAATCCTTTGGGTATATACCCAGTAATGGGATTGCTGGGTCAAATGGTATTTCTAGTTCTAGATCCTTGAGAAATCTCCACATGGTCTTCCACGATGATTGAACTAATTTACACTCCCATTAACACTGTAAAAGCATTTCTGTTTCTCCACATCCTCTCCAGCTTCCATTGTTTCCTGACTTTTTAATGATAGATATTCTAAATGGCCTAAGATGGTATCTCATTGTGGTTTTGATTTGCATTTCTCTAATGACTAGTGATGATGAATGTTTTTTCATATGTTCATTGGCCATATTTTGAGAAGTGTCTGTTCATATCCTTGGCCCACATTTTTTATGGGGTTGTTTTTTCTTTTAAATGTGTTCCCATTCTTTGTAGATTCTGGATATTAGCCCTTTGTCAGATAGATAGATTACAAAAAATATCTTCTATTCTGTAGGTTGCCTCTTCATTCTGATGATAGTATCTTTTGCTGTGCAAAGGCTATTTAATTTAATTAGGTCCCATTTGTCTATTTTGGCTTTTGTTGCCATTGTTTTTGGTGTTTTCATCATGAATTCTTTACCCATACCTATGTCCTGAATGGTATTGCGTAAGTTTTCTTCTAGGGTTTTTAAGGCTTTAGGCTTTATGTTTAAGCCTTTAATTTGTCTTGAGTTAATTTTTTATAAGGTGTAATGAAGGGGTCCAGTTTCAGTTTTCTACATATGGCTAGCCAGTTTTCCCAACACTGTTTATTAAATAGGGAATCCTTTCCCATTGCTTGTTTTTGTCAGGTTTGTCAGATATCAAATGGTTGTAGATGTGTGGTATTATTTCTGAGTCCTCTGTTCTGTTCCATTGGCCTATATGTCTCTTTTGGTACCATTACCATGCTGTTTTGGTTATTGTAGCCTTGTAGTATAGTTTGAAGTCAGGTAGCATGATGCCTCCAGCTTTGTTCTTTTTGCTTAGGATTGTCTTGGCTAAACAGATTCCTTTTTGGTTCCATATGAAATTTAAAGTAGTTTCTT